TAGTGTCCTTGTTACACGTTACATGTATTTACTGTAGTAATAACATTAAATTATGCATAATTACAAGTAACTAACCCTAAACCAAAGCCGGTAACACCTTATTTTAGTGTCCTTGTTACACGTTACATGTATTTACTGTAGTAATAACATTAAATTATGCATAATTACAAGTAACTAACCCTAAACCAAAGCCGGTAACACCTTATTTTAGTGTCCTTGTTACACGTTACATGTATTTACTGTAGTAATAACATTAAATTATGCATAATTACAAGTAACTAACCCTAAACCAAAGCCGGTAACACCTTATTTTAGTGTCCTTGTTACACGTTACATGTATTTACTGTAGTAATAACATTAAATTATGCATAATTACAAGTAACTAACCCTAAACTAAACCCGGTAACACCTGATTTTAGTGTCCTTATCATACGTTACATGCACTTACTTTAGTAATAACGTTAAATTATGCATAATTACAAGTAACTAACCATAAACCAAACCCGGTAACACCTTATTTTAGTGTCCTTATCATACGTTACATGCACTTACTTTAGTAATAACGTTAAATTATGCATAATTACAAGTAACTAACCATAAACCAAACCCGGTAACACCTTATTTTAGTGTCCTTATCATACGTTACATGCACTTACTTTAGTAATAACGTTAAATTATGCATAATTACAAGTAACTAACCCTAAACCAAACCCGGTAACACCTTATTTTAGTGTCCTTATCATGTTACATGCACTTACTTTAGTAATAATGTTAAATTATGCATAATTACAAGTAACTAACCATAAACCAAACCCGGTAACACCTTATTTTAGTATCCTTATCATATGTTACATGCACTTACTGTAGCAATAACGTTAAATTATGCATAATTACAAGTAACTAACCCTAAGCCAAAGCCAGTAACACCTTATTTTAGTGTCCTTATCATATGTTACATGCACTTACTGTAGTAATAACGTTAAATTATGCATAATTACAAGTAACTAACCCTAAGCCAAAGCCAGTAACACCTTATTTTAGTGTCCTTATCATATGTTACATGCACTTACTGTAGTAATAACGTTAAATTATGCATAATTACAAGTAACTAACCCTAAACCAAACCCGGTAACACCTGATTTTAGTATCCTTATCATATGTTACATGCACTTACTGTAATAATAACAGTAAATTATGCACAATTACAAGCAATTAACCCTAAAACAAACCCGGTAACACTTTATTTTAGTGTACTTATTACATGTTACATGTAAACCAGCTAATGCACATGCATCATGTTTCAATTTGTATGAGCGGGAAAAAGGTGGATTTAAGATGGTCGTCACTAGTGGTATGAGAGAGGCGGGCAGAACAAGAGCTCTTGAACGAGATTATTGAGTTGCTGTGTAAGCGTGACCAGCCTCAATGTTGTGGAGGGGAGTTAATACTGTTTTAAGTACTTGCCAGTTCTGGTTTCAGACTTTCTGGTTTTTATTAATAATCTTTGTTTTAAGCTCTTAAACATGTTTATTTGCACATTTTGCACTTCTGCTCGAAATAAACACCATTTTGGACGCCAACTTTGCTCCCGTGATGTTGATCCTCCTTGTGACTGCTAGGGTCTTTATCACAACACCGTTAAATACAGCGTAACCCCAAACCCTAACCTTAACCCTATAGTAAGTGTATGTAGTTAATTAATATTTCTACAATCTCACCTTAAAATAAAGTGTAATACAAAAATTAACTGCACATCTTGCATTTCAAACCCACAAACTCCATTCCACTTTTCACAAACCAGTCAATTCCCACTCAACATTTTCTAGATTAATATCTTATACACCAGATTTTGGAAGTAAAATAGGTCGAGCAAAGCATTTATGTTGACTTTGAGTCTTTTGTTTCCTATCTTGTTTCAAGTGGAAGCAATCAAGACAAAGTGGAAATGCTCCACTTGAAAATAGCATTTGTGATTTCCTCATTTTGAAACAGTTTAGTTGTGAAATGCAAATTATGAATGTTCCAAATTAGCCAAAACATTACAAAGTTAAATGAAAGAAAATTAGCATTATCAGATTTGTTTCTTCAGCTTATCTATACAGAAAAAATATTATATATTGAACTGCCTCATAATTATAGTTGATGATTCCCTTAAAAGGAAACTAGCAGATCCAAATCAAGATGCAACAAGAGTTGAAGAAAATCAGGGATAATCATTGAGCAAAGAAAAAAAGAGATCATTGGCCTATCAGAGCTGTGAGAAAAGTGACCCCGTGACCTCGCAGAACATGCCACATTCACGAGCACCTCGAGGGGCTTTCCGGCAAGATGCACCGCGGACAAACACAGACAAACACATGGAAAGGAATCATCTGATTTTCAATGAACCGCACAGAAAGGTGTGATTGGGGCCGCAATAGGAAAGGGAGGGGCAAGGCAATACAAGGAGGAGGAGTCTGAGGGAAAGACTGAAGCCTGATTGGTGGGAAAGCTGAATAAATAGCTTTCCATTGATGTATGGTTTGTTAGGATAGGATCATATTTGGCCAAGATACAACTATTTGAAAATTTGGAATCTGAGGGTGCAAAAAATCAAAATATTGATAAAATCACCTTTAAATCTGTCCAAATTAAGTTCTTAGCAATGCATATTACTAATCAAAAATTAAGTTTTGATACATTTACAGTAGGAAATTTACAAAATATCTTCATGGAACATGATCTTTACTTAATATCCTAATGATTTTTGGCATAAAAGAAAAATCAATAATTTTGACCCATACAATGTATTTTTGGCTATTGCTACAAATATACCCCAGCGACTTAAGACTGCTTTTGTGCTCCAGGGTCACAAATGAACAAAACACACATGCACAAGCTGACTGTCACACGCTAGTACAGACTGCGCTTATGTATGAGGGCGTGTTACAGGAAGTCACATGAGATGATCAATAATGATGAGCATGAGGCGTGTGCAGTCTGAATAGATGAGAAGCAGGCGTGACCTTTCACTCTATAACTCTGCTAAATATCCACTTCTTATGGCTCCTGTTACATCGTGATCTATTCCCACTGTTCCCAATTCCTGCAGCAAACTCTTGATAAATGTCAGATATATAGAAAGTATTCTCATGACGTCCAGTGCCACAAATCAACTTCATCTGGCAGTACAGTGACTGGAGAAGTATTAGCAGTAGTAAAAGTATAGCTTAAAATAAATATTTTTTATGATATAAAAATATATTTATAATGTAACATGTCAGGGAGAAGATGAATAAAATGATAATAATCATAATATTTAGTATAAAAAAAACTTCACTATGATTATTCATGCTCAGAAAACTGCCATTTGTGCATCTCACTGACATACAACTGATACAAAATGCTCTCTCTCTCTCTCTCTATATATATATACAGTATATATATACTGTATATATAACCAATTAAATGTTTTTGTGATAAAATTAACTGATATTCCATATATATATATATATATATAACAGGGTTGTCATAAAATATGGTTTAAAAAATAAATATAATTCATTTAAAAAATATTAATGCAATTAATTTTTTTTTTATTAATAATAATCTAAATTAAAAACATCTTTTTAGTCTGGCTTTCTTGTAACGTCTTATAAAACTGAATTCAATGGTACTTGTTTTTTGTTTTTCAACATTCATATCCAATTTTGGTTTTATTTATTATTATTGTTTTTCTATTTTATACATTTGACTTTTTTATGTTTATTGTTAGAAATGACTTTTGAGCCTCATTTCATTTTCATTTTTTTTTAACCTTTGTCTCACTCATTTTCAGTTGTTCATTTTACACCTCTGTGTCAATCACTTTTTCATAAGGAATGAACAATCAAGGTATTGTTAATTATTCTGCTATATTCATGTTTTTATGCTATGTTTTTGTTCCTGGAGAACCAAATATATCCACTTATTATAGAAGGATAAAGCAGACATTGTCATCGCTTTAATGACAATAAATAACCATTGCTACTGTAATTGTGAGAAAACAACAACAATTAACAGTCATATTTGTTGACCACTGGGGAAAAAGCATTGTCAAAAGATTCACTAATGTATATGGCGTAACGGCACTAATACTTTGAGCCCAAGATATGAAAATATGATTTCATGAAAGTTCAGCAGTAAATTTTCAAATGTAATTTTTTATTAAAAGAACAATTTTCTGGTACAAATGGCAGTTTCCTGACTATGACCTTTAAATACAGGTGTAACACGTCTGACTTCAAGAGGATTTGCTGATTTTTCATGTTGAATTTGATCACTATAGAGCCTTGATGAAAATGTTACTTTATCCTTCTACAGGAAGTGGATATATTTGGTTCTCCAGGAACAAAAAGTAGCATTAACATAGCAGAATAATTAACAATAACTCAATTTGATTGTTCATTCCTTATGAAAAATAACACCAAACCGGCAGCTGGGAATGTTTGTTGACGCAATCGAATACTACGGATTCTAACAGAACAAATATAAAGTTGATGAATTTTCATTAGTGATTCCTTGTGACTTTTCTGCCTGTTTGCCCTCAAGCTCAGTTTGAAGAATCTGCACTTACAAACAAGCAAACAAACACGCTGATGACTTAATTGCTGGATATGAGCAGCTGTGACTGGAGACACCTTATGGGCTTCTGGAAGAAATCAGAGCCTTCCTGCTGAGAAACATCTGGAGATTTACAAATATTTACACTTAATTACTCCTCATTTAGAGCCAACCTGGACCCACTGCACATTAAACACGCCATCAGAGAGAAAGAGACCAGTGAACCCTGCTAACAAAGGAGATGATTGCTGCTTGTTGCTCATATTAAACATCCACAGAGATTACAAGCAGGCACTTACAACAGATGCACAGAAATACAGCATGAGCTCTTAAACACCTCGTTTACTCTCACTTTATCTTCCTTCAACACATATGCACAGGTCTTGTCTGTTGTTTTTTTAATGCGCAAATGCCGTTACCTGAGAATTAACCGTCTGACCCATGGGAATCCTTGAGCACTCTAATGCAAACTGCTTCACGCAGAAATAACAGCCCTGCAACAGAGTCAGAATATGATAAGATTTATGCATCAGCTGTAGATAAATTCATAACTGCATAGTTCACCTTATTCAGGAGCTTCTTAAGGCAAAATAAATAAAAAATGGCTTAATTTTGCTTTCTTAATTTGGCCTGGCCACGATTCGTCTGTGCACACTATTATGTTATTACCATCATAATTATTAGCAAACTGAACAAATATAAATATCTCTTTTATAATCACCTGTGAAATAGAAAAACTTTTCACCCATAAATAAATAAATAAATACTATTCTGAACCCATTTATTAAAACAAGACTTAACCTTATCATTAATTTTCTTTATTATTATTATTATTAAAATTTCAGATTTGTGATTTGAATAATAACAAACCAATAATAACAATAATAATAATAATACAAATAATAAATTTATTATTATCGTTATTTCTATTATTATTATTATTATTAACACAGGGAATGCAACTCTGGCAATAAATAAATAAATACTATTCTGAACCCATTTATTAAAACAAGACTGAACCTTATCATTAATTTTCTTTATTATTATTATTATTATTATTATTCAAATTTCAGATTTGTGATTTGAATAATAACAAACCAATAATAATAATAATAATAATAATAATAATAATAAATGTATTATTATCGTCATTATTATCATTATTTCTATTAGTATTATTATTAGAATTATTAACACAGGCAATGCAACTCTGGCAATAAATAAATAAATAAATACATGCATACACACAACTTTCAGCACAATTTATGGACTTGTATTTTTGCCACTGACTGCATAAGTAATCTGCTGGTGTTGAAAATTTCTATGAATGACTGGTGTTTTACTCGTGGGTAAACAGAGATTTCAATCAGAATAAAACTGTTATTAATAGCATATGTTGACACGTTAACTTTGACAGCCCTAATATTTGACAGCCCTATGCCATTAAATTAATTTGACATTGAATTGAGAGAGATATTAGACATGAGCAGAGCTGGAGATCAGATGATGACACAGTGTTTCCTTGCTGTTGATTCTGTGTGTTCAAATATTAATAAGCATAAATAGCGCCAGAGCAAGGCAGAATCCATTAAACATCTCTCTCCTCAGCGTCCGCTAAGACTTTCACAGCGTTCCTGTGAAAAGCCCAGCGTTTGCTCTTGGCTGATGTGCTAAAAGGGGCGATTCTATGTGAGAGAGACAGACACATGAAGGTCTCACTTGAAAAGCCAGCTCCATCAGGACGATTCCTCCCGGCAGCGCCCTCTGCAGGTGATATGATGCCGAGCTCGATGTATTGCTCTGCTGAGAGAAGCAGAAAGCACACAATCAGTGTGTGTGTGTGTGTGTGTGTGTGTGTGTGTGTGTGTTAGCCATTCTCTATAGCAGTGGTGCTGGTGCAAGTCATTTAATTACAGATGTATTACTGTTCAAATATTAGGGTCAGTAAGATTTTTTAAAAAGAAATTAATATTTTTATTCAGCAAAGATGTATTAAATTGTTCAAAAGTGACAGTAAAAGGCATTTATAATATTACAAAATATTAATATTTTATATAAATACTGTTCTTTTGAACTTACTGTTCATCAAAGAATCCTGAAAAAAATGTATCACCGTTTCCACAAAAATATGAAGCAGCACAACTGTTTTCAGCATTGATAATAATCAGAAACAACTGCTAAAAAAAATTCAGTTTGTCATACATAAATAAATTATATCTTAAAATATATTCAAATAGAAAACAGTTATTTTAAATTATAATAATATTTCACAATATTACTGATTTTACTGTATTTTTAATCAAACAAATATAGCCTTGCTGAGCAGAAGAGACTTCTTTCAAAAACATTAAAAAAAATACTGACTCCAAACTTTTGAATGGTAGTGTACACATTTTTAATGTTAACAGAAAATTGTGTTGCACGTTATTAAAAACAATGATTTCACACACTATTAAGGGGAAAGTGGTTTCACATTTTGTTATTTTCATTTTTTAACCATTTATTTATTATTTATTATTATATACTATTTTTTAATTACATTAAACATCATTGGTGTCTTTTGACCAAACAATGATGTCAAATCTGATGACATTTCAAAACCCATCACATGGAAAGTAAAATTGCTAGAATTTTCATTTTTGGGTGAATTATTCATTTAAGGTCTCATTAAACAGCCTATTTATGTAAAGATTTTATTTTCATCTTTTTACCCTTTCTTCAAATAAGATTTTGCCTTTACTCAGATAGGATTCAGAATGGGACAAGGAGTGTGTCAATGGAAATGGGGCGAATGTGTGTGTTTGAACTGTGATGCACATAGAGAAATGCATGTGAAATTTAGATGTGAATTAAGAAAAACTGGAGTGTGACTGAAGGGTTGAATATGGATGAGCAGATAAAGTACCTTGGGGCTGTCTTCACTTTTCTGCTTATTATATGAGAAAGAGGAGAAGGATGATCTGCCTTCAGTGGATAAAGAACTCAACATGGCGGCTCGGGCTCGAGCGATGCTGCAGAGAGAATAAGAGAGAGAGTGAGAGAGCATGTGTGTTTGTGCGGCCCATTGGGCATCTGACCCCGTCAGTAACGCGGCCCTCACGCTGCCGATCACACTGAATCACATGCTCCTGCTGCTTAATGCAGTGTGTCCAGCATTAGCACATGACACACACTGTACAGAGACCTGCCTTCAGCAAAAAGCACTCATTCTTGAACTTATTGTCGCCAAATGACTAAAGTTTTCATACAAACGTCATGTTTGACGTTACAGTTTGGTTGGTATAAAAGCTATTTTCACAAAAAACCTTGACGTAAATGCAGGCTAAATGCTCTGTGACAGAAAGAGTGAAGTGAATAACAGTGTTTATGACTGAAATGCACAGTTCAAAACCACCTGTTTGATATCCGGAAACATACATCACATTCAAGTCCGTCTGGAAAGGTCGAATTAACGAGTTGGGAAGACGTCACTTTGTTCAGAGGAAGATGGCGATGTACATTTTCTATATAAAATTCAACGAGACCTTTAAACACCATATCTCCAAAATTATAAGTAAAGATTGTGCATCAGGTGTTTGGTTTTTTGCTTTTTTTCTGTTTTCATTCTATTTATGAAGGTGGTACTTTTTGAATCGTTATGTATTCTACTATAACACTATGGCATTTTGTACATGCATGCTTGGTTTAATTATATATTTTAAAAAATCACTTTAAGTGCTACATAATAAGTATACAGTAATAAAACACTTATAAATCATTTGCAAACTAATAGTTACTAGTTAATTCATAGTTTATAAACTGTTGTCTCTATATTGTTAATACATTAATAGGCTATGTATAAATAGTGAGTTCACTGTGACTAATTTTCAAATGATTATTTTTTAATCAGCTGTAAACAGTAATATCGCGTTTTTATCCTTTTTTTTGTACTCACTGTATTCTAATGATCTCATGAGTATTATTTCTATGCATTTTATGTAACATCACTTATGTTTGCATAGAAACAAAAAAGTACAATATTTACCTATTTACAGCCACTGTACATTTTTCTGCCTATTACATATATATATACAGTGGGTACGGAAAGTATTCAGACCCCCTTAAATTTTTCACTCTTTGTTATATTGCAGCCATTTTCTAAAATCATTTAAGTTAATTTTTTTTCCTCATCATTAATGAGGAAAAAAAATTAACTTAAATGATTTTAGCAAATGGCTGCAATATAACAAAGAGTGAAAAATTTAAGGGGGTCTGAATACTTTCCGTACCCACTTTATATATATATATATATAGAGAGAGAGAGAGAGAGAGAGATATGTAGATATACGCCAGTATTTTGGCTAATTTTGAGTCGGAGTGACTGTCAGGCGTCTAAAAGTGAGTTTTGATTGAGTAACTTGTAGATCTGTAAACTGCGTATTGTTTCAGATGGTTCAGTCCGATTTGGTGAACTGGTTTAACCTGTTCACTAAAAAGAACCGGTTCAAAAGAATGATTCATTTGTGAATCAAACATCACTCCGGGACCGTCTGACTGAAGCTCTGGATTACAGGTAACAATTTAGTCAATATTGTTCAGTTTCTTGCACAGACTGATAATTTCGCTTCGTAAGACCTCAATATATCGTCAGGAGCCACGGGTTTTAATTTTGTGTTACTTGCTATGCTTTTTTTAAATTCTCAAATTCACCTACATCTTAGATGGCCAGAGGGTGAGTAAATTAATAGCAAATTTTTATTTTTGGGTGAACTATCCCTTTAAAGAGCTATTTTGACCTGATTTAACCCATAAAAATGAATATTGTTGGTATAAATTGTTATATCTAGGTTGATTCAGTGATTATAATATTTTTGACTTGAATTAAACTAGTTCATTTAGATGTGACCATTTTTAGGTTACTGTTTCTGTTGCGCTCAACTCATAAATTTGATCTTTCCAACATGACCTGAACGCATCCGTAGTGATTTTCTGCAGGACACAGACCTGCGAGCGGGCGACTGCGGCCGGACCTGCACCAGGATGAAGCCCATGCTCTGCAGATACTGCACATACTGCTGCAGGAACATGCTGGAGATCTCCTGCAGCCACGGCTCCTCCTTCAATCGACTCGGATGCATGTCTGCAGAATCCGTGCTGTAGCTGCGATCGCGGCCGGACGCCGTGGAGTCACTGGAGCGATGCCGCTTCTGTAAGCCGAGAACGAGAGGGTGTCAGACAATGAAACAGAACAGAAAATCTGAACTGAATTCACTACACAGCCAGATTTTGACTATCAGCATAAAGTCTGGTCTATATTGAGCCTAAATCTGTCCACTTAGGCAGGAAAAGCGAGCAACCGCATGTTTTTGTATGACATGATTTAGTGTGGGTCAATCTAAAATTCAGAGAAAACGTGGAGTATACAGGTGCACAGTGTGCCTGTGCTATCTTTATATAAAATATATATGAGATATATATAAATATATATTTATATATGAGACTTGCCTCTATGCCACCTCAATCATCAACAACAAAATCATGATTATTCTGGTGATACGCTGACACACGTGTGCTCATTATCACACCTGACACATGTAATTACATAGAGGTGATATTTACGATCTGTTTTGCATTTAGACTGAGACGATAATAATAATAATAATAATGACCCTAATAATAGTTAAATCATATAATAATAAAAACAGTAACAATAACAAACAATAAATTAATTAATAAAACAAATAAATAAATCTTATGCACTTACATTAGAATTATATGGTTCAGTTATAGTTAATAATAATACTAATAATTTTTAACTAATTATTTATTATTATTATTAAATATAACAACAATAATAATAATAATAGCATCAATAATTATGTTATAATAATACAAATTTATTATAACATTATTATTTATATTAACTTGAATAATAATAAAAACAACAACCCTAAAAATTAAATATTATAATAGCAATAACAAAACTAATAACAAACAAAAAAATCGTATGCACTCACAATGGAATTATATGGTTCATATTTATGTTTATTATTATTATTAGGGTTATACGTATGGTCAGGGATTTGAACTTCTAACCCTAAATCAGGCTTCAAAATGATGGTATTTATAAATGCAGTGTGAACCAGCAGACAGACTCCGCAGGAGGAGGAAGAGAAAGAGGAAGAAAGAGAGACCTTCATCTGGGGCTGAGGCAGCTGTTCCTCTTGAATCTGTTTCCGGAAGACAGGGTCGAAGAGCAGCGGAGTGGCGCAGTAATGGACCAGTCGAGAGGACTGCTTTAGTGTGTCCAGATCCGCCACCTGAGCACAGACACACGGAGAGAGCATTTCCAGATTTACACCCAGAATTCCTTCATTTGCTGCAACAGCTATTGTTTTATAAAGGTGAAGTGTGTAACGTTTTCAGTGTGTAAATACATTCCATGCCAGTTTAATATGCTGATTTTATCCTAAAAAGTCTGTGGTGCTTTTAAAACATTGATCAAAACCTGTTCGACACACTGACTCAACCAATGGTTTGTATCTGGAAAATTTACAATCAGTATATACTGTGAATATACACTACAGTTCAAAGAGGCCAGTAAGATTTGTAATATTTTTGAAGTCTCTTCCGCTCATCAAGGCTGCATTTATTTGATTATAGTAAATACTTAAATTCATACTTTTTTTCAGGATTCTTTAATGAATGGAAAGTTCAAAAGAACAGCATTTATTTGAAACAGAAATCTTTCGTAACATTATAAATGTCTTTACTGTCACTTTTGATCCATTTAATGCATCCTTGCTGAATAAAAGTATTAATTTCTTTCAACAACAAAAAAAATCTTACTGACCCCAAACTTTTGAATGGTACTGTACTTACAGTAGTGGTGACCTGCAGTATAATAATAACACATTTGTCTGGATCTCAGCAGTGTGAAAGAGCCTCAAAGAAGTGCGATCACAGCCAATGACAGAGGTATCTCACACACTACAGCGTCTCCTAATGTCCTCGCCACATCTCATTAGACCCAACCGGGCTTTACACACAGACGAGAATCTGCATGTGTGTGTGTGTGTGTGTGTGTGTGTGTGTGTGTGTGTACAAATGTGCTTGCAGCCTGTACACTTGTATATTAGAACAGAACTATCAATCAAAACAGGTCAGTAATGGCATTTCTCACACATTGGTGGTCTCTAAACCCAAATCCCAGTGGGCAGCTAGTCTATGTGACATTCTAATGAGGTTAAGCCATCCAGATTTATTAAAGTAATTGCCATATCTCATCACGATGACAGGGTTGCAGCAGTGACAGCGGCCTTGCCTCATGATGAATGATTGGCCCATTAAATATTCTTCATCATGATTGCTGATATTTGTATGCGAGAATTGTTTTGATGAATCTTAATATGATTTTAAAGTAGCTGTATATATATTGCTGATAAACATTTTACCACATTTCATGCGATCCTTCAGAAGCGTGTGTGAAGCTGGAAGAGACGGCAGCATGACTTTTAATGTGACCTTAAGCATACTGATCACTAAATATCATGAGGGGAAAGGTTAGAGACTCTGTGTGTGTATGATTTAGTATGCAACATTTATGAGTCACCTGGCATCATGTTTTATTAAATAACTATGCAGTTAGCATTCAGCACTTCACAACGCATTCATTCGGAGTGATTTGAACAGAAGTTTTTATAATACTAATACACACAGAGGCGAGTCTGTGTGTGTGTGTGTGTGTGTGTGTGTGTGTGTGTGTGTGTGTGAAGCAGAGGATCAGCGCACTGGGATGAATCTGGACCCGATGAGCCATTGGGAAAATCATGCTCTGAGAGTGTGATGGAAAATACCCATCACACATTATCTCTCGGCGCAGAGGCTGTGTGAACTCACAGAGATGGGCATGTTGGACTGAGCCGAGCGCTGCTGCCACGTCACAAACAGATTCTCAATCTTCATCTGTCTCTCCAGCTCTGCAACACACAAGACAAACCTCAGAATAAATCACATGTTTTCTGTGGCTGAGGTTCAGATTTCAAATTATGCCACAATCATTTCTTTCTTTCTTTCTTTTTCTCTTTCTTTCTTTCTTTTTCTCTTTCTTTCTTTCTGTTTGTGCTTCTGTTTGTACTTTTTCTTAATTTCTTAATTAAACTCTTTCTTTCCTTTTATACTTTTCTTTAACTTCTTTCCATTTTTCTTTTTCATACAATTACAGTTGCTTTCTTTTTTCTTAATTTTATTCGTACTTTCACATACTTTTGTTGTTCTTTCATTGTTGTTTTTAGGAAATAACTTTAATTCACACTTGCATTTTTTTTATTTGCTTCATAATTATTTGATACTTTTTCTCAACTGTTTTTGTTTTTTTCCTGTTTGTTCTTTAATTCACTTTCATATTTTGGTCTTTTATATATTGTTTGTTTTAATATTGTTTTCTTATTTGTAAGATTGTCTTTCATTATTTTTTTCATTCTCGTTATGTTCTTTTTCTTTCTTTTATTTTTGTACATTATTGTATTCGTTTTCTTTTTGCTTTTTTATTTCTTTGTTCATGCTTTCATATACTTTTCATTATATTTTGGTTCTTTCATTTCTTTCTTTCTTTACACTAAAAATTGGACAGAAAGGACTTTTATAATTTTTTGGTTCTTTTTATTTTTGTTTTTCATAAGTTCGTACTTTATTTTGTACTTGGATTCATACATACATCTGCTTTTCTTTTTATACTTTTACACCATTTTTTCCCTTTAATTCATATTTTCCATATCTTTTTTCTTTTGCTCATTTTAATTTTTAATCATTTTCTTTTTCATACTTTTTGCATTTTTTGATACTCTTTCTTTTCTTTCTTTCTTTCTGACTCCTCAACAGCGCGCGCTCTGTGATGGTGGATGTGAGTTGCGTGTGTGTGTACCTCTGCGTTCAGCGGCTTTGACCTCCAGTAGCTGGGCTCCATGGCGAGTGACTATATCGGGTCCGTCCTGACTGGTCAGGGGCCTCACCGTGTTCACGTCTCTCAGAGCTTCATCAAAGGGCACGAGTTCTCCGGGGAAGGCCAGAGGAGGAAGAGCACGCGCAGAGCTGCCCATCCGACCCTGATCCTTACTCGCGGCCGGAGGAACCGGACTCCTCAACAGAGCGTCCGCCTCGATCGTGGAGCTCAGGAACGAGCTGGGCTCCTGCTAACAACCAAATACATACATGAGACAGATGAATAAATAATTAAACACTCAATGAATGATTATCAAGAAAAAAATGAAAAAAAAAAATATATATATGAAAAAGAAATCAATAAAAATGAAAAAATGAAAACAAATTTTTTTACAAAAAAGTGAAAAAAGAAAAACAATTACAAAGTCATTATAAGTATGAATTAAAGAACAGAAAACAACAGGTGTAAAGAAGTATGAAAACATAATTATGAAGCAAACAAAAAAGAAAATTAGTAAAAAAAAAGAAAAAAAAAGAACCAAAATATAAAGAAACCTATATGAAAGTACAAAGAAAAAAAAAACAAGTACAAATGTACAAAAATGAAAATAGGGTGAACAAAGTATGAACAAAGGAATGAAGAAATTAAGAAAGAAAACTATACAAATAAGAACAAAGTATGAAAATGCATAAACAAAAGATATAAGAAAAAATATGGAAAATAACAAAAAACAAACTGTTGTGAAAAATATGAGAAGATTATGAAGTGAAAAAAAAACATGATTAAAGTTACTTACAAAAAATAATGAAAAAAAAAATTATGTATACTATATGAAAGTACAAACAAAACAAAGAAAAAAAATAATGCAAGTACAAAAAGAAAAATGAAAGAACAAAGGTATAAAAAGTATGAAAAATAGCAAGAAAAAAAGAACAAATGAAATTAAGAAAAAGTACAAACAGAAGAACGAACAAAAGGAAAGAAAGAAAAGCCAATGATGTTTCATAAAGCCGAATTTCCCCTGTGTGAATTCAAAGCTCAGCTCTCATCAGCCTTCAGAAACTCACTCACAGACGCTGAGATTTGATGTCAAACTTCGTGTTCATCAGCGTTAAACTCACTGACACGCAGAGATCACGCCAGCATGAGGGCCTTTCCTCAAGACCACCGATTAACATGCAGCTGATCAGAGCACAAGAGAGAAGAACTAACCAAACTCCTTCTGAAGACCTTGCCTCTCTTCTTGAGTTAGTGTTTGGAAGACTAGTTAAAGTCCTTCAGGGCGAGTTGGAGGCTTTTCTAAAAGAAGCTGGAGCAGATGCCCATGTGCCCGAACTTAAGCGCCTGAACTCCGCCCTCTGGGACTCTGACAGATGATTGACGGTTAGGGCAAATTTTCTGCTATGTTGGATCCACCTCCTGTTAGCATTCATTAAGAGAACAGATTAAAAGTGTGGAGCCACTGACGAGGAAATAAAAGAGTTCTGTCCTTCACTTTCTAGGCAAATGTAGATGTTCAGTTTATTTGTGCTTCAATAACATGATAAAGTGTGTGTGATCTTTCTGAACACATATTTCCGATCTACTAAAATTGCTAAATTATGCAGCCATGTGATTAAAAACTCAGTCAAGTGAAGAGAGAAAAGTTTGAAAGCATTCCCAACATTCACTATATAGTACTGCGAACTCTTTAGTTAAAACACAAGACAATACCATTTGTATCCTCTCTGCTTACTTTGTGCTACTATTACAAGTGACGTGGCAACAATGGATTTTGAACAATTTGTCAAATTTTATTTGGAAAAACAAACAACAAATAAAGCATAAATCCTGCACATAACTGAAACTTTCATCATTACAAAATTTATCAATCTTATACCAACCCCAAACTTTCAAACAGCATTGTATCTTTATAATTTAGTATGTATTGATGCTGAAGAATTTATGGTGCTCCATTAATCACTAAAATATTTAGCTGATTATTTATATAATCAATAGTGACGCTCTAAACTTAGAAACTCAAGTCAGCAGCTAAATCAGTCCCACCATTAAATTTCTCTTCTTTTTTTTGTTTTCTCACGTACATATACACAAAGGCCCAACACACAAACTAAAGAGCCGACAGGGGCTGATTGACATGAAGGGATCAAACGAAGAGCGAACAATGAAGATCTCTGTGGCATCTCTCCCTCAATCTGTTTCCTTAAGGACAGACACAGACAAACGATGAGCGAAGTGATATTAGAGTCCACCGTCCAGGGAAGAGAGCTCATATCATCTGACAGACTAAACTCCAGATATTCTCACCCACAAACAACGGCTCAAACCCTACTGACTGCCTGCCGGAAACTCAACGCTTCTAAATCACACCTGAAGGAACGGTCTTTATTCTGGAGAAGAATCTCATGGGTTTGTGTTTATCTGCTCCCACACACAAACACAGATGAGCATCGCTTTAAACAAGTCATTTAAAGAAGTTTTGTAGCATTTGGTTTGTTTTCCCTGATGTTCACCCATAATGCTGAGGTCAAGCTTAGCTAAAACGCCATCATTTAGTTTATCAGTGCAGTGCGATTAACCAATACTGCACATGAGATTATGAATTTTACTCTTTAAATGAGTCATTCAAAAACTCACAATTATTTACCAGCTTGAATCAAACCTAGTCTTATGAATGAACTGACTCCCGTCACTTGCAAGCTATCATTCAGATGATGTCCATCTTGAAATAGACATACTGTATAATAAAAACCTGGTTCATTTTGAGAAGAACATGACTGAAGACTCCTCGGCTGCAAAAACAGGATTCTGTACAAAACACACTCTCAGAAATGCTTGATTCTGATTGGTCAACGAGGTCTTTGGTGCTCAAATATTTTTATATAATGACACTGAACTGTATAATTGAGTGTTGAACCAAATATGAGACTTATATTTATGCATTTGGAAGGTGCTCAAGGACTGACATTGCATGTAAGGAATACATTTGAATAAATTCATGCATTCCTTGCTCTGCTGTTTAAGCGGTTTAAAAAGTTATTTAAAACTGAATAAATAAAGAAATGGACATTAAATATTAATTTATTTTATTTTCATTTATTTATTATCTATCTATGTTCCATATATTTATTACCCATCTATATTATTTTTTATCTATCTATCTATCTATCTATCCATCCATCCATTTGATCATCTATCCATCCATCCATCCATCCATTTTATCATCTATCCATCCATCCATCCATCCATCCATTATTTTATCATCTATCTATCTATCCATCCATCCATCCATTATTTTTATCACATTTGAATAAATTCATGCATTCCTTGCTCTGCTGTTCGGTCGGTTTAAAAAGTTATTTAAAACTGAATAAATAAAGAAATGGACATTAAATATTAATTTATTTTATTTTCATTTATTTATTATCTATCTATGTTCCATATATTTATTACCCATCTATATTATTTTTTATCTATCTATCCATCCATCCATTTTATCATCTATCCATCCATCCATCCATCCATTATTTTATCATCTATCTATCTATCCATCCATCCATCCATTATTTTTATTTTATTTTCATTTATTTATTATCTATCTATGTTCCATATATTTATTACCCATCTATATTATTTTTTATCTATCTATCTATCTATCTATCCATCCATCCATTTGATCATCTATCCATCCATCCATCCATCCATTTTATCATCTATCCATCCATCCATTATTTTATCATATATCTATCTATCCATCCATCCATCCATCCATCCATCCATCCATCCATTTTATCATCTATCCATCCATCTATTATTTTATCATATATCTATCCATCCATCCATCCATCCATCCATTAT